AGTAAATTTCAGAAATTTCAGACATGAGATCCCTAATTCTAGGCTGTGTATACACAGCTGAAAACACCCAGAAAGTGCTGTTTCCAGCCATCTGGGGGCTTTTAGATTCCAAAAATTTTCTGCTACGCTCCGCGCCAACCGATGGTGCCGCTCCGCTTAGATAGTCCTGCCGGCACTAAAACCATCCTGGGCAGAACCCTGGTACTACGTAGCAATCTTTACTTTCTCCGCTAAGATACACATCTGTGGAAGTGGTATGTACATAATGTGGTTGCTCCATTGATTTTAAAGTGGGTGATGGGCCCAGTTCAGCAGAAAAGACACAGAAGGAGATGCAAGTATAGCCCAGCGACTTTCAAGTGAAAGAGGCGGCATCCTCAATAGCATACAATACCGTTAGTGATACTCTGTGCTAACAATAACTTACAGGCCAGGGCCATCTTCACGCAAGGTGTTTCGCCCTCATACCGCACACAAAATGAGAGGGGGGGGCTTCAAAAGCACCCGATTTCAGACAAGTCTCTCCTAGAATTTCGAATTTTCTAGCAATGTCCTCAGCCCTTCAAGCTCAATTCTGTGAGAGGCAGCTCGAGGCTGAAATTTTGGTCAGATACTGAAGAAATGGGATCGAAACAAAAAGGGGTGCTTCAAAAGTTAGGAATGCCCCTAGGCTCCTATAGTGAAACTATGTTTGCCTCTTGCCAGTTCACGAGCTGGCAAATTGGACATACATTTGGGAACACGCGCCTAATTCCGACACATAAAAAGATCAGCAGTTCTTTCCCGGAGTTAAGCATAATCAACTGAATTATAACTGGATATTAAGTGAACTAATTACGCCTAACCTATACCCAACAATTGAAATGGAAATCTTATGGTCACAGCGTCAGGCGCGTGCAGACATCAAACTTGCTTCCACATTGTGTCCCTTCCTCCAGACCTCCACGATCCACTGAGTTGGCTACTCAGAACTATCTTTGTCATCGTCGGCAGTTCCACATTTTGCCGCGCTACTCTCATTACACTTCTGCCGGCTCGGCTCCATGGTAGAAGGGTACGTATGAAGGAGGATGATTAGTTTTACATAATTACGTTTAAATGCGGCAATGCATTGCCCCAAATAACAGTTCATCTTGTTGGTCGTTTATCCCGCCGGACCCTCGGATAGCTGATTTAAAACCTTTCTGTCATACTGGTTTATGGCTAGCGATTGTGGTTTAAACTGTATGCGAGCGAGTGCCAACTATGACAGGCAATGCCTATGTTCACGAATAAACACAAAACGGAGTATACTTTTCGATACACTTTATGATGTTCCTGACTTTGTATAGGGATTCTTCTGACAACTTATTTATCTCTCTGAAATCCATATCTCCCTGTGGGAGCTTACTTAAGTACGAATTCTGGGGCGTCTCCCTCCCCTCGTCAAATGCGAATGCTCGAATGTGTTGTTGAAGAACAACCCGACACGCGTTGTGTTTCCCTCGATGACCCGCGATGCGCTGGACCCCAAGGCACAACTCGATGTAGACTTGAATCAAGTTGGATCTACGTTGCCTTTCCCCAATCAGCCATCTTTCAGCCTGTACGTACGACAAGTGTCGGTCGCCGCGCTCCCATAAGCCTTGTGAGGCGCCCACATTTGATAGCCTTTATTGTACAACGTGTGTCATACGTCACCAGTCAGTACGTCCGACTTGACGAATAAGCCAATCGGCCCCGTCGATGATAAAATTGCATGTGAACGACCTAATCTTGCACGATGCATACGAAATTTCCACCAGTCAAAGTAGTTAGACTTGTAGACTCGTTCATTTTAATGCAGGTATGAACGACGTAAAAACAAGTCCGGCACTGTGATTGGATGCTGCCACTTTTGGTAGACGAGCCCATTCACTGTGTACTAACAGTTGGCAGATTCGTCAAGTCGGGGTTTCTGAACCGAACTCATAGTTATAAGTGGACACAAGAGGGCGCGAAGCAAGTAACGGCGATCCCGATATGTATCCAAAGCATAATCTAATTCACAGAGATCCCGACTTGAGTCAAGTCTAGCCTCGATGCGCTTCCAATCCCTTGGAAACCGGGTTCTTTAATTGTGCATACTCCCTATGGTTGTCAGTCCATTCCTGCTTTCTGTCCATTTCCGGTTAAAGGTCCTTAATATAGGTCAATTCCATTACGGGGCACCTGTTCAACATCTTAACCTGAATTTCCTGAGTCTGCATGCCCCTTGTGCTTCTTCTGCATACGTTCGTGTAATGCCGGTTACTTTCCTCTCACGTTCCTGAACTCTTTCACCAAGTGATCTGGCCGTTTCCCCAGTTACGCGTACCCTACTTGACCCGTTTGAAGGATCGAATTAATCTTTTTAAAAGAAATGCTACACTGTTCTCACATGGTGTAAGCCAGTCAACACGATAAAACGAAGCAAACTTTGACGTCACGAAAGATTTGAAGCAAAATTTCGCTCTAAATGTGTTAACCTTTTGCGAATTCGTGGCACAAATATATTTGATCTGCTGACGACCCTGCTTAGCACACAATTTCACGCTAACGGAGACAATACGTTTATCATGGAAACCGCCGTGGGCAGTAAGCACAGCCAAAGCACGCCTTGGTGGAAAATTTGCTTTAAAGTAGTCACGTAACAATAGAAATCCCTATGTGCGTGCAATCGAGGAAACTAGCACAACCCATAAAGTACCGAATTGAAATGAACACGCCACACGCACAGTTAGTGTTTAAAACGCATGAGCGCGCGAACCAGCGCGTGAACCAACTCACGCGCGTACTCCATTTGTTTGCACTGCACTCTCTGGTTCACAGTGACGTCACACTTCGGTACTCTATAGAGATCATAATGTATCATCAGTGCTCTGAGTTATGTAATTGCCGAAGTTTTGCTAACTGGGCACCATTGATTTCTGCTTAATGTTAAGCAGTGTGCAAAACTGGGCCCTGATGTCACGAATTCGCGTTTGAAGTACCAGACTAGGCATATCGTAAGTCCCGCAACAATTGCAGAACCATTCAACGCAAGCGCACGCATGCACGCTCTGAACATGCGTGCATGGTAACAGATGCTCATTTATTCGTGCTGACGTCACAATTTACGACGTGTGTCAACCATGTCACATGTGCAGGATCCAACAACAAACACATTAGAACCCTTTTTGATCTCATCGAGCGAGGTTTACCTACTTGATTTGATTGCGATTTTACTGCGCTTTGTTACCATCTTACCGACAATAATATTTCAAAATGTTATTGTTGAAGCAACTTTCGTTTTGGAACGTTGTGATCATGACCGGTGGCTTGTTGATGGGGATGATGACCAGCGGAGTGTTGAAGATTCCTCCTTCAGCACTAACCGTCCAAGCCACCGGCATGCCTGACTTTTGCCTGGAGACCGCCACCGTCATGATGATGCTCATCCCATCTACGTCATCTGGAGACCAACCTACGGTACCCTCTCCCGGCCCGCCTCCAACATCGAGGCCTCTGATCCTCACGGATCGCTTCCCTGCCGACATCGACCACCTTCCTCAAGTCCTGTGGCGAAAGAGGTCAACTAGTGACCCTTGTTGCGAGGTACCACCATCGCCCGCCGCCGATTTTGAGACGAATGTACCGGCAGGCCTGGTAACGGGAAATTTCCCCAAGACCAGGCCACTACTGACCGTCGACCTGATGACAGCTACTCCGGCCAGTCCTCCTTTTGTATGGATCACTCCTGATCGTATGGGTGGACCTCAGTTTGAGCCCAGCCAGGTTTCCGGGGGAATACCTACGTTTGTTGATGACAACCGTGCAAACGTGACATCAGTTCCCACCAAACTTCTGTGCTCCAGCAAACAGTGCCTGACCATCGGCGCGTTTACAGACTTCTGCCTAATTACAAACATCGATGCTCCAAACAAACCCATCCTATCCGAAGGAACATCTGCTAAAAACCATCTCTTTCCGTGGAAATTTGCTCTGTATCTTTGTTGCTGCTGCATGTGGGGAACATCATTTTTCCAGCCAGGGGTGCCTTCAGCAGAACCGGGGATGGGTTCACTTCTACTCAACACCAACAACCAGTCGTGTAGTTTACTCCTTGGGACTGAACGGGGAGTGGCATTCTCCCTGCGACATGTCGCTACGAGTTGGATCGCTGAGCGGGGACCATTGGCATCTACTATCTTTTGCCACGTGTCCATCTTTTCCAGCTTCTTTGGACTCCTCACTCTACTTCTCCAACTCTTTCGGAATGGCCATCGAATCAAATCCTGGAAGATCCAAGTATATCATCACCGCCCTCAAAAACAGCGGCCTCACCGTGCTGATTTCCCCAGACAGTTGATGAATAGTCTCCGGGTTTGGCTACGGGCCGTAATCTTGCCAATCCATGCGATACTCCTTCTTCAAGTGCTTCCAGTCATCTTCTTGCCAACAGTTGGGGTTTCTGTGATGGCTTGGATTATTTTGCTTCTCTGGGACACGATCAGCCCTGCAAATTCTAACATGAAGTCACCGGACATCACCAGCAGCCAGGTGACCCGGCTAGTCAATTCTGTCCCAGCACCACTCAGATCCTGCTCCGTAAGACAAAGGTTGCCGTGCAGTCATAACATCGGTGCTTTGCAGGTGCTAGCAGGATTTTGGTTCCTGGCCCACCTTAGGGAACCGCATCATGTCACGGCTGACTTCGATGTAACCGGTTGCTTCCTTATCATCCCCCACTACATTGGCGTCCTGACGTTTTTCCGGGACAAGATGAAGACGCAGACAACTGTAGAGAATGCTAGTAAGTTGATCATTAATTTAATTAAAATTTCTGCTGCTGAAGCATCACTTGATTACTTTAACGCTATTACTTAGACTCTTCTTCAACGCACATGGATCAAGATCATTCTGTAAGTTCTTTGTGTTATTGTACTATTAACTGTTAAGCAAACGAAAACATGAAGTGGGTTCATAAAAGGTAAATGCAGTGGCGTAAATTTGTGGTAGAAATTGGGGGATGGGAGATGGGGAAAGGTGGTGTATGACTTGCCCGGCCACGAAAATTTGAAAAGCTGAGGGGGGGGACGTTGACACCTCATGACTGTATATAGAGGTCGATATTCATGATACATATTATAATGTACATCTGTAATATGTATTACAATAATTTTATGACTTATTTAAATTTATTTAAATTTGTTTGCCCTTTTTGAGTGATACTGAATGTGTTTCAGTCGGAAGTGTGAAAAATTCTTCACAATCCACTTTAATTTTGCTCAACACAAAAGGTGTATGTGGGGGGATTCAATAACCTATTGTCACCCCCACCCAAAAAAAGTTGGGGATACATACCCCTCCCCATCACCGCGGGATTTACGCGCATGAATAAATGTGTTTGACGCAAGGGCAGTTTTTACACTGTAAAAAGGAAAGATTTCGCAGTTAATGTCAACTCTAATAGAAACAACGGATTTTACAATAACATAGACATTTCGCAAAGTAGTCACAGACAGATGGGTAAGACATGGACTCTATCATGGTTCCAATGATGTTTTTTGGTAATTTGGAAACTCACTGCTTGTAAGCATTTGGCTTCAGCCCAAGATTTTTTCCACACCATTTTAATCCTAGCAGTCAGTCCATCTAAAATAGATTCATTATCTCTTGTCAGATGTTCATCTTTTGGCATCAGTGAACACCATTGAGGAAGCCACAAAGATGATTGGTACCTTGAAAAAAATGGTACCATCTGTCAAGTATCACCACCACTGCAGTGGTAAGTGCCACTATTCAAATTTCTAAGGGCACGCTTCTATGTTTTAATTTTTTTCAAACTTCAGCGCATAAGAGATCCAGGTTAGGGTAGGAAAGGGACTTTAGAAACAAAACATTACAGGAAATACAATTCAATAGAAGCCATTAATAGATAACCTTTTTTTTTCTTAGAGGCCCATGTCTGCACAAGTGCTTCAGAAAATAACTGAAGAGATCCTCAACACACTGCTGTAAATTTAAAATATCATGGGAATATCACTCGTTTCTTGACGTGACATATATCTTGTTTAAAACAGCATAATCTGAGTAATGCACATTGGGATTTTTACGTTGATCTAAATTCTTTCTAACCAATCAATAAAACTTCATTAATTAAGAAACTGTAAGAAAATGTAAGCGTGTGGCTTTTGGACGAAATTAAGAGCAGAACGAAGCGTATTTTTAGTTTAATGCAACGGTCACCTGCTACAAATTGCCTACATAGTCGCCTGACGTACTTCAGTGGTTTAGGGTAGCATGAAACCGTTAAGATTGTCACAGCGCATGTGCTCGCCGATCACAGCCGAAGCATTGAAACAGGTTCGGAACTTTGGGCTATATCAGGCGTAACACCGTCAAGATGATCGGGTGCTTCCTATATTTTCGGATGAAATGAGATTTCGGATGAAATGCATGTCTCGAACTTAAGACCTGCGGATGTTTTATGTTGGGAAGCTGCATTCCAATCTTGAGGGCATGTTTTGTCTGTAAAATTCGCTCAAATCTTGAAAATAGGAACAAAATATCAAAAAATCTATTCAAGCCAAAAATGGATGTAAGATCCCTAAGAATTCACTGGCATATACGCTCCTTACTAATTAACATTAGATTTAAAAATGTATTTCGTCTCTCCAAAAATATGTTCTAATCTTCTGACTCTAATTCTACCTCATAAACAGCACCAATTGTCTTGTTCGTATCATAGAGCTATTATAGGTCAAAACGTCAAATGATTCTCCCCAAACTACGGTGGCTGATGTTTGTTTAACCAACAAAACTAAAAGGGAATTTTTTAGGGGTTAAGTGCGTAATTTTCACCACACTTTTGCGATTGTGGAGTCTTGATAAAGATATGATGAAAAAAAAAAGAATTTGGGACCGGAAAACATATCGAATTTAGAGAAAGCTTTGATGTGAGACTCGCAAAGGATCATTCTTAGGTTCCCCTGAACTTACAAGTTCGGGTTTGTTTATATCCAAAGTCACAAAAAACATTTCTGAGAAACACTCCCATTTATTCCATTGACCATCAAAGCTTACAGGTGATATTTTTTCTTTTCCAGGATCAGACACCTTTGATGCTCACCTCCAGCATTACTCGTCTCCAAACAGCAACCATTCCAACAATGTGCCAGGCAAGCGAGGTTATTGTCAGAGTTGCTGTGATACCTTAGTGAATTTTTCCTTCGGAAACGATGACGTAACTGACATGGAAGCAGATGAAATAGATGCGGAGGCAGAAATGGAGACAGGTGCCAGTGCAGAAGAAGTCATGGAAGTTGACAGCAACGAGTCAGTGTCCATGGAGATAGACAAGTTGGACGCGGACATCATGGAGGTTGACTTCAATAAATGTGATGATGCTGGGACTGCAAAGGAGACTGAAGACAAGGATGACACAGACATGGATGTCGACCTTCGTGAAGATGAAAAAATGGAGTGGGACGAGCTATTACCGATTCATGGAGGATGGGACTTCACGAGATTCCATTATGGGCCCGATCATGTCTTCACCAGACAACCCCTGCATAAAACAGCCAGCTGTGTCGGTCTGAAGACTGAAGCCATGGACTGGGATGAGCATGTGTCTAAAGCCTGCTGGAACTGGCTTACAGTTTCCTCTGTGAGTCCGATTTCTGCCCTCACATCTGCAGAATCTCCGCTAATGGCGTTTTCAGCAAGAAATACACCAAGAGCGTCGGTACCACCGCCACCACGTCCACCGCCATTGCTGTCACTGCCTCTTCGCAGAGCCGGCACACTACCACAAAAACCGCCCACAAATGCAGCCATTAGGTTTGAATCACGTAAAAGTATAGGCCTAGGTGATGAAAGACAGCTAGGCCAACGTTCTGTGCTACGGGGTCAGGCTCTGGAAGGATGCAGCGTTCTGAGGGATCACAGCAGGATGCCAACGTTAACCGAACCTAAAAATCGACGAGCTCGCTCATCGAGGAAAGCAAAGCTTGCGAGCATCAAAGTGGCAACACAACAAAGGCCGAAACGCAAACAGTACTACCGTGCAAGCCACAAACGACGACAGGCATTGAGACACATGGCTCTCCGGTGTGGCTTATCTACTCGTGAAGCAGTTTGGACAAGGCAGAGAGATGAGGTCCCGGAAGGAATCAGACTCACCAGATTCAGAATTAGACAAGATCACAAGACAGCCCGCCTTGTCAGAGCTTTTACAGAACTTACATTGAAGGACTGCGACATAAAATCTTCAGATGGGCTGTTGGCATCACATTCTCTTGCAGCCACAGGATGTATGAGGACGACCCAAAGCGCACGAGAGTGCAGTATCATGGAAAAGCTGGAGCCGGAACTTCCAGTGAAATCAAACGTTCATCAACCTGCATCTACCGGGGATATTCCCGAGAAAAAAACGAATGAGGTTGATAAACTTGATCGTCTACGTGGGTGTCTGGCACTATCTAATCTTGCCATAAGTCCTAGATACCACAAAGACATTAATGGTGATGCAACAAACCAAGAACGACATGACGCTCCTAAGGGGGAGGTGAGAGTACCTTCAGCAAATCTGCAACAACCACAGGGTATATCTTCATCTACCGAGAAGAGACCAGAGGGAGAAAAGACAGACATTTCGAAATTTGTCAGGCTGCATCAGTGTTTGGCATTAGTTAATGTCTCAATCAAGGACATTGATTGTAAGAGATCAACTGGCGCAATGGCCATCAAAGATGTCAAGGATGTCTTACCTGAAAATCTGCAAATGAACAACGTGGACAACAATCAGCTTCCGGCAGCTAATATTTCGATGATACAGAGCTCATCTGATTCCAGTGACGGTGGGAAAACAAAACAGCGTGTTGACAGCAAATTTCCTAAAGACAACCCCCATCAAACACATAGTGAATACACATCTGCCGAAAACCCAGCAGATCAAGACTCAAGTTTTGACAACGTTGTCAGCGTTCATTTTTGTGAGGCGCCAAATGGTATTTTGATGAAAGAAGGAACATCAAAAGACGCAAACCAGGGAATAATCAACCAAATTAACGACAAGGGGCTGTCTGAACAAATTATCGAGGAACAGAAAAAAGATTCATGTATACCTTGTCAAGTTGACGTCCTCAGAACAGGAGATAAGCCCAGCGAAGACGACATATTTGCAAGTCACCTGCAACATTCCAGAAAAACAAACAGTGATCAGGAATTGGGTCGATGTATTGACGACAGTCCCAAAGGGTTTACACTCACCAAGTCAGAGGCCTTACCAGTTCGCAAGCCTACTCCCATTGACTCAGGCTGGACGAGACGTGAGGTCGTCTTACAGCAGACCAGACAAGCTGCTGGATATACAAGAAGACCAAATACCCCAGTCGCATCCCTCATCACTGCATTCACACAACTCAGATGCACTGACCTTGAATCGATGTCCTCGGTAACTGAAACACCAGAAGAGTCATTCAGCAGACTGGAGCAAAGAGGATGCGACAAGCCGTCACGAGTTGAACCGAATTCAAAGGAGTTTCGAGTCCCAAATCGAAACGTGAACGAAGGTGTACCAGACAGCAACGTAGAAGGTAGTGGTACACTTCCTTCCAGTTTGCCATTGCTTGATGATGATATCAAACACAGTGCACAGCAGGCCATGGCTGATGAAATAACAAGCCAGCCTGCGAATGAAGAGGGACTAATACGGGGTGATCTATTGAATTCACATCAACCAAGTGCAGGCAGTGGCGCGAGACAGCTAGAAACTGTTTCACCTACAGACAACAGAGACGAAGTGAGAGATGACATAGGCGACGAAGACGCACTTATAAACCTTATCCAAGGTTTGAGGTTAACTGAAGATGACATGCATTCCACAGGACGGATTCAAGAAGAGAGACGTTGGGAATTAAATGCACAAGTTATTGAGAGCCAGCACAAGCAACCTGTTTTCCACAACATTCGTAATATACATGTACACCAACCACAGATGCGAAGTTTTAATGACAGTATATACAGGAGAGACGTATTGAGCGAACTCATACCGCAAATGAGACAAATGGAAGAGACCAATAGCGGAGCGTTTGATGTTTCAAGTCAGAAGCCAACAATTCGTCATAGAGACCTGAACGCTTTTGAACCGAATAAGAACTTCACGAACTCCAGGGTGTCAGCACCGAGACTCGCTCTCAAATCTGCTAGACAAGCATCCAATTCTTTAGAGCAGATTCGTGACAGATTCAGAAAGATGGCAGTCGAACGGGCTCGGAAGCTAAGACTCCAAGCAAGGGACATTGAAAGAGGTGACGGGAGTGAGGAGAATGAGAATATGTGCCTCATCACTGAGATGAATGCAATGACCATAAAACAAGAAGACGTAAAGGACAACTCAACGTCATCACCACCAACCAAACATGGCAACAGTCGTGTTGAAAAGGAATTTCATCCTGGAAGCCCATCTTATTTAACTAACAGCGACAAAGCACAGAAAGGTGCAAAGGAGACGGGGGAAAATGAACTAAACAACACAGTGGCAACTACGACAATTAGCCTTACCTCATCTAAACAACCACGCGAGGACGAAAGTGAGGAATTTCATAAGAAAAATGAGAAGGAAGAAAGATCTGTTCTTGCAAGGCTCGACACCGAAGCTGCCGCACAGAAAAATGAACACAGGCCTGATAATGAAACTGCAGTCCTCCAGACTCCTGAAGAAACAGCCCCAAGTGGTTTTGCAACAGAGCTCGATTCAAACAGCAAAGGAAGTCAGGATACGTTGGGAAACATATCCGCTGCAGAAGCCACGCCAGAATACACTACACACCAGCAGGTACTGATGAAGATGGAGACACTACATGTTGAAGACCAAAAAACAACTCAAGAAGAAACAAACAGAGAGGGCTTACCACAGAGACAGTTGGTGGCACGGTTCAACGCAAATAGCAAAGGTGCAACCGTTTCAAGACAAGAAAAGGTCTTTAGATTCGTCAGACCGTCAAAACGGGTTAACTCAGCAGTCGTTCCTCAAAGAGAAGATGGGGTAACAGAATCCGCAGGTGTCGGTCAAGGCTCTCAGTCTATGCAGTCACGTTCCACTCGGTCTATGATAAGTTTGCGCCTCGAGGAAGCGCGAGATTGGAGAAGAGTAAAGGCTAAGGAGCGAGCAAGAGAGGCCAGGTTAAGGACATTAAATCGGGACATTGACACCGATGACACTTCAGAGAGCGGTGATGAAGTTCAAGATAACAGAACACCTCTTGAAGATGGCAACAATACACAAACACATGGATCACACTCAGAAGAAGTGCAGGAAGAGGAGTCTTTTACTGATCCGAGCTCAGACAGCACTGAAACTACAGACTCCTCAGAGGACGAGGCAGTTGGTTTAGCAATCAAAGGGGCACGACTTGTTACACAGCTACAGCGATTGGATGTCAAATCAAACAGTGACGCTAGAGCACAACCTCAAAAAGGCCGGGCAGGTATCAAGGCATCGGCACAAGAACTGCTTCTAAAATATGCCAGGCCAGCAAAGGCGGCGCTGACGTTAAGGATACCCAGGCCTTGCAGAATCGAAGACCGCAGGTCACACTGCCGTCGTAGGAGGAATAAATCGGAAGATTCTGACGACTTCCTGCAATCATCTGTAAGCTCACGTGTAAATAAATCCCGACAGAAGAGGAGAGAGGAAGCTTTAGAGCGGGCCAGGCTGGCGAGGTTTCGGGCTCGTTGCATCGAACTTGAAAATGATGACGATGATGAATTGCTGAGAAGAGACTCAGTGGACATTTCCTTAATGCAAAGGATGATTGACGAGCGGGCTGATGATCTGGAGAGACAAAGAACTGTGGCTGATAGAGGACTAAGAGCACAGGTAACACCAGACGACGAGAACACGGTGCCACATGACGGGAAAGACGCAACTGAAAAACAAAAATGAAACCAGCCTTACGAAAGAAGAGGAAACTGGAAAAAAAACCTCACTCAGATAGACCAACTGACTCCGTGTACACCCGTCACCAAAGCAATGTAAGTCCAGAAGGGTAGGAACCCTGCTTGGGGGAACCTAGTAACAACACAGCAGCCGAGGAAAACCCTGCGTTAAGTCAAAGGCAAAATCTTTTTTGTCGGCATGTCGCACGCGTCCAACGTAAGAAAGCGAGAAGAACTGAACAGAGAGCAGATGCTACAGCTTGATTTAAACAAAGCGGGACCTGCAGAAGCACTCAAACCGAGATGAGGTTAAGATGCGCCATGCCAAAGAAGACCGTCCAATACCAGGTATCCCCACGGTGCTGAGGCAAAGTAAAAACGACAGAAACAATGGCTGAGACGGATTAACATCCATCATTACGGTCCTGTTTGAAGTAAGCAAGAAAGACACGAAGGGACCTGTTTTAGTCTCCACGAAGACCAAGGAAGCCAAATTCCTGAATAGACACATGAATGTGTCTGATTCTGACGACAATGACGAAGAGAGATCTGCTAGCAAGTCGTTCTTGTCATGGCACACTTAGGGCAGTTTTCAAAGAAAATGACACGAACAAGGGACCACTGTTTTGCTCAGAGAACGACAGAATACGATAATTTAAAATATTGTAGACTGAACTAATCAATTTTTCAAAAAAAGATGAATTTCTGGATAAAAACTCTTAAAAGAGCAACCCCACCTATAACAGCGTTGGAAAGTCTGGATTTTTGTCTGGGTAGTGAAGGGTTGACAGGATACGAATGGTGCGTTTATCCACTTACAGCATCTCTACCCTTGGCAAGGAATGCTTCGCGACACTCAAAGAAAACTTACTACTCATCTGTTCTCTCACGCATACGCAATCACTTCTACAAAACTCAACATTTGAGAAATACTATGTTATTCATCGTTGTATTAATAAGACTACAAGGATGAGCAATGTTGGAATTCCTCTGTGGCTTAGACCATGGGTGATCTGTCATAGAATGAAAACTAAGATTAAAAGCCACTTGTGACTACAGGCCAGGGAAAAAACTACTTTCAAAATCGGAGAATGAAATTTTTAGATAAAAAAATAGGCACAAGTCATTGGTTCTAGGAGTGCCTAGGTACACAGTGATTTTTTTCTTAGTAACTTAGAAAATCAAGAATATGAAAAAATGGGGAATTCAACAAGACTTAAACCAGAAATATCTGTATAATTTAAAAAAAAAATCCTCTTACTATTGCAAGACTCCAGTTGGGCACATACATCAACACTGAATTCGTCAGCTTTGGTGGAAACAAAATCTTGTCAAAAAGTAAGAACACTTCACTTTGGGTGAATATCTGTAGCACTCCAATGTTCAGTAGATAGTAGCCAACCTTCGATTTCACGACCTTGCATTTAAAAACGACTATCCATGATCTCTGCACTAACCAATTTCCATTTGATTTCGCCCATGTTTCTTGCAGTTTTTAATGAGCGATTGGCCAATCATTTAAAGCAGAAAGTCTTAAAATTCTATAGCCTGCAGTGTCTTGATTCAGCACAAACACTCTCAAGGCATTAAACTTTTAACATATCAGGATTGAAATAAGATTTTGTATTTTGTATTGTTTCTGTGATGGTGGTAGGGTTGATGGCGGGGTTGTGTAAAATACAAAATCGAGCCTTCAAAACTTCCCCAAAAATCAAAATGTTAAATTGCCTCAGTAACTTTATTTTGAAACTAAAATAGTCATTGTTGAAACACACATGATAATGCAAATGGAAAACCAATTCGTAAACAAAACAAAGACAAAAGAGATACAATCTTAAAAATTCAAAGCGACGTCAAGCAAAAGCAATGATATCAACAAAGAAACATATGTATTGTTTCAAAATCTCATGACCACTCACAAAAATGGAGAAAGATAAACATTTTAGTGTAAACTGATCGTTTTCAAAGGTAATTGAAAGAGAGAAAAGCTTTAAGTGCTTTGATAAACAAAATGGAGTAAGTGGATCTCAAAGTATTTAAACAAATCAACTGGCACACTTAACGAAACAGAACAATAAAATTTGGCAAATGATTTCAAGAAATTACAAAAACCTGAATGGCTAAAAGGCTAACAGCATGTTTACAGTTTAAGATGTCAATTTAGATATTTCTCAACCTGGGCATAATCCTATTACCCTTAGTGAGGTTTTCACTGGATAGAAAACAATGTTCAGATCTTAAGTAACAAACACAATTTAGCACTCCTGATAAAAGTGCCGTACCTTTTTTTTAAACTGGAGATGCAAATAAGAGAACCTGTCGAGCAACACAAAATATTACCAGCTTGGCGTTGGTGCTCTGAGGGGAAACAACTTGTTAGCAAGCCTGAGATAACTACCACTAGTTTAAACAATTCTAAATAACAAAAGGCATTCAAATCAGAATTAATGGCACTGTCATTTTTAAAAAGAACTGGTCAAAATTTTCTTTGCAGTAATTTGAAACTCCAAAACCAGGGGAAATTACAAAAAAATCAACTGCAAGGAATTAAAATGCTGTCAATGCATCCTTATGGCGCCTCGACAATGGAAGCACAGCGAACCCCTGCAGTCTGGTCCTCAGTGCAGGTGATGTCAGAACTGCTATTGATGCAATCCACCAGGCGCTGCTCCTCGCCAAAGCAGCGCACATCATCCAGGCTGAAAGGGAGCTGCGCAGTGCCCTGGAAGTGGGAGCCAATGAAGGCTCTCTGGGCCAGCGGGAAGCCCAGCTGGTTGCAGGCCACAAAGGCATCCCCAAGATCCCAGTTGTTGTCACAGACCATCCCCCATCTGCCACCCAGGTAGACTTCCACTCGACCCTCTTGCTCTGTCTGTCCATTGGTCAGACGGATGTCCCCCTCACTAGGAGGTGGCTCTTTATGATGGAAAGAAACCAATTGATGGTGGAATTATTCAAACTTGTATCATTGTCTACTTTACCATAACATCCAACACTACAGAATCCAAAATAAAAGGCTATATCTTCCTTTGTGTAAATGCATAATGAATTTTGATCCATCTGAATTTCAAAGAATTTACAACAAAACCAGCAAGTGAACACATGAAACATGGAATGCACAGAAGTCTGGTGAAAAAAGTTACTGCAACCCTAATCTGCAGAACACCACTACATGCGTGCTAGGTTAATGTGCTTAAGGATGGACTGGCACACTTGTCCAAGCACGAGACCGAGCCTATGTTTACTTCACTACTGCTTACCTGTCAAACAGACAACCCCTACATCCTCTGCATGTCCACAGTCATTCACTCCCCACTCAGCAAACGGGCAGTCAGCAAGGCCAGCCTCATCGCCAGCACAGGCAACATCGTCCATCCAAATTGGGTCCTTGCCCTGTTGGAAGAATGCCAATGGCTTGACCTCTTCGACCCCGTAGAATCCTAGCTGCCGACAGACCACTTGGGCATTGGCGTCTGTGACCCAGTTATCATCGCAAACCGTGCCCCACTGGCCCTCATGGTAAATTTCAATACGGCCTTCCTGGGGGCCATTCGGGCCTTGAACTAGACGGACAGTTCCTTCAATGACTGCAAAACAAAATTAGACAAAAATTGTGTGAGTCTAATATATCAAGATTATAAGATTTTCTCTGCTTTACACTGCTGTTGGTTCCTTGAACTCAACTAGCCAACTGAAGGGACACAGCTTTGTAGACTATAGGGACTACACGGTGGAATTTCTCTCTGAAGAACATGATGCCACACACAATAAGCAATAGCTCAAAAGTGTATTTTCACTTCCCACCCTCAACATAAAACTAAGAATTCTTCCTGCTTCATCCAGATCTAAGCTTTGGAATATCCTCAGAGGTAAAAAAGCCATTACGTTTATAAGTAATAAATCCACATTGACTTTGGCAGGGCTCCAACATGCAACCGACCAATTAATACTGGCAAGAATGATGGTCTATGTCCCCCTCCCCCGTAACATAATTGAATCCACTTTAACTGAAGATTTTGAATGTTTCGAGCTCTAGCCGGTCTGCATGGTCAGTGGCGACGGCACTGAATTGTCCTCAATGGTGACAGAGGAATCTGACAGATTTGAATGTTTACACCGTCGCGCACATCACACATGTGAAGAACATGTAGAAAGGGATGGTATTCCTTGTGTGGACCTGCAAGCAAAAGATGTGTACAGAGTGCAGGCTGAGCACAGCCTTTGTGTGGACTCAAACAGGTCCACACGGCCTTTGTGTGGACTCAAACAGGTTCACACAAGGTTCTCCCTGAAGAATTGTCAAGGGAATGATCAACGAAAATGAGAATTTTCATCACACAATAAATGAAGGAATGTCCACACAAGGTGTGTCATGCAAAAATGCCTTGGTTTGTGGACATTCAGTTGAAAATCAGTGGTGTACACAGAATTTGTTCCATCTGTTAAAAATACTGTTATGTTCCTTCTCATTTCACTGTGTTCAACAAATACATGCACGAATTCATATTGTCTGCACTCAGGACGGCAAAGCGATTACTTTGCAATGAAGTGTTTGCGATGAAGTGCACTTAACCCAAGACTTAATGAGCCTCTTACCTTGATTGCAAATAACTCCAACGTCACTGCTGTGCAGGCAGCTCGTTCGGGACCATCCACTGGAATCACACTCAGCCAGTCGTTTTTCTGATCCCTGACATTCCAATCTGTCCAGGAAGACTGCTCCCTGTCCTTCTCCAAAGTATGCGGACAGCTTCATCTCCTCAGCACCCGGGAATCCCAACTGACGACAGGCAACCTCAGCATCTGACAAATCAAACCCAGCATCGCATACGGTCCCCCACTGGTTGTCATGGTAGATTTCGATCCTACCTTCGAGGTCCGTGGTGCCATCTCGCAGACGGAGATCCCCTTCAACAGCTGGAAAATTAAAAAGGTACTGAAATGCTTCAAATATTACAACCTATTGGGTTTTGGAAGAAGACTGGCCATGCAGAAACTAGTATACAATGAATTTGTCTTCCAAAAATCAACATAGTGGACAAGAACTGCACAAGAACAAAGCATTTTGAGTATGCCACTACTACGAGACTTGCGTGTGAAGATGCACCCTGTTTTCAGCCTAATCTCCCTGTGACGTTCTTGGGTCACCGGCATATCATTAATACATAGTGAGTGTTTCTGAAATGGGCAAAAACTGGGACTTGCTGAAGCCCATTCTTCAATCATACATGGGAAAACTGTTCTTTTTTTCCAAGTTAATTTTGGAAGATGGTCTTGTCCCCTTGTTTAAAGGTTACACCCCTCACCAAACTGTGGTGCACACCGCATCCTCTGGTGCAGATCTGGTATCTCTCTGGTGAAACCAGAAATACACAGCTCAACTAATAAATATGCAATAGCACCCCACCCACACACACCCTGAAACTTTATTTGAACAATGAAGTGCACCAGAACTACACCAGAAACATTCAAACCACTTCTGTACCACATAATCTTTGCTACCTAGGCCCCCCAGGGAAAGAAGGTTTTTTCCCTACCTCTTTCACAACAAAGAGTTATTTAAGTTTATGAGATAACAAAACATAATTATAATGTATATCTGAGAACCTGGGGAGCATGAGCTGGTGTAAGCTCTAAGCTGAGGCAAACACACCAATCGCATTGCATCGCACACCCACTTTTGGCAATTAAAACCATTATTCAAATCTTTTTTACGCTCGTGGCTATTATATGGCAAAGACTTTACATAATTTTCAAGGGGAAAGTACTGACAGACATGCAACTAGGACTTTGACAAAAATTGAGGAAATGCCAATCACCTTTACAAGACTTTGTACAGTGTTGTTCAATTTTCAATGGCATAAGTTTGAAGTGAAAAACAAGGAAATCAGCTGGTCCAAGGAAAAGTTGCATGCCTGTCATGATACTATAAAATGTTTGCATTACACAGATGATGATCTGTACAATAATTGAGCTGTGATTATTCAGTGCAGAAGTCATTACAGTATACTGGATATGTTTGGTATGCAGCAAACCAACAACCAAAAAGGAAAGGTTGTTGAACGAACTCTTATACATTAAATGGCAACCGTTGCCAGTTTGCAACTTTGGAGAATGTCCTCACCTGGTCGGCACATGACACCAGCATCCTCATCATGGCCACAGTTGCCCACTTCCCAGCCAGGAAAGTCACAGTCTATCAGCTGCTGTTCCACTCCTGTGCAGGCCACATCGTCCATGTGGATGGGGTCCCTTCCTGGCCCATAGAAGGCACCATGAACAGCTTTCAGGGCCGTCATGAAGCCAAGCTGTTTGCAGACCACATTGGCATCAGCAAGCTCCCAGCTGTCATCACACACTGTGCCCCAGCGGTTGAGGTGGTAGATCTCCACGCGGCCTTCCGTCTCTGACGAGCCCCCAATCAGACGAACCTCGCCTTCATCATATTCGCTGGGTGGGGCCTCTGCAAAAATCAACAATAGACATGTTGTGCCAGACTGCAAGCCCACCTTCTCAAAACACATACCTGTGATTGGATAGATATTTCCCATATCATCCCACACAACCACACCTTGAACTACATGATAATTTTCCCTAGGTTGGTTATCCCATTTAACCATTGATAACTGCTGTGATGAAGGATACAACATTTTCACACAACATACCTTGATGGCAAAAAAACCTATCCAACATCACCGCAGTCAACAACTGTTTTTTACCCTGCGCCAATAAGTTTAAAAAAAGTATACACGCCAAGGAGTCTTAAAAACTTATTTCTACAGACTGATTATATGTAACTACAACAAACCAATGAATGTACTGTGTTTGATGTTAATGTCAACATCAATATTATAGTAGTAGAAGAAGTAAATGAGGTGATGTGAGGCACACACTGTGTGCCTAGTTCAAGTATTCGATACTATAAAATCTGGCAGCTTACCTGTTGTACAGGTGACACCAATATCCTCACCATGGTCACAGTTGGTGATGCCAATGCCCTGGAATGGGCATTGGTTCAGTCGATCTTCTTTGCCGGTGCATGCCACATTGTCCATGTGGATCGGTGAGTCTTCCTCTCCCCTGCCAAATGGATTCTGCTCACCCTTCAGGATTGCCTCTGCTGCCGCAAAGCCAAGCTGGCGACAGACGACATCACCGTCCTGCAGGCCAAAGTCGTCATCACAGACCGTGCCCCAGGTACCCTGGTACATAACCTCCAGACGACCTGACATGGCTGTGGCACCTGCACCAACCAGCCGCGCTTCCAAGCTGTCATCTGGTCAACATGAATCAAGAGCAGTCTTAGTTTCAAGATACTTATCGACTGCTGACAAACACTTCACCCCCTACTGAAATATTAAGGACGGCCATTTCTAACATTAAACGGCAAAAAATTACTTTTCAAAGCTGCCACTTATCTCTCATCTGAGCTTACATGTTACATTTGTCTAAAACTCACTGCCCAATGGCAAGCTAAGAAATAATTTAACAGGTTGAATTTCTCATCCAGAGTTTTTGGCATAAGTGCCAGTTATGCTTAAAAATATGAAATATGTTTTTAAACAGCTTAATTTGGAAGACATTAGCATTTTATAAAATTTTTATTGAATCTATGACCTCTTTTAGTAACCAATAGTCACCTGAAATTTATTCTCATTTTTACAATATGCCAGTCTTGACCCAAAACTGGAACATCTGTCTCATTTTATACACAATACACAATGTATTACTTCTTTAATGTGTCTCCTTATTCTTAAAATGTGACTAAATCCCACAGAAGGAACTTTTCAAACAAACCTAACTCTTCATCATGATATATATAATAAATGTTAAATCAGCCCTGATAAGGTACAAGTATCTCACCGTTGACATTCAACGGTGATTATCCACGCTCATCAAGCTCACAACATCTGAATATTCCTAAGATCATCTCAGCTCTCTCGGAAGCACATATCCCAAAGCCACCATTTCAGGCACAGATGGCCAAACACGATTAACCATCACCGCCCTCAAAAGTAACCCAGGTACTGGAGTCAAATTTCCAATCCTTCGATCGAGTGCTACAAACCCCACTTGTTGGCCACACGCCTCCACAATCTTATAATAGTTTGTCAAAGGGGGCAATCTTTGACAAACTATTGAAAATGGATTTATATTCTCTTGGGACAGAGGTTATATAATTCAATTTTTCAATTCTGGATTTCGTTTCATTGTTCTCTTTCTTTTTACTAAAAATTCCTCCTGACAAGGATCGAGCATGAAGCTGATGTACAAATCACCCAGGAATGAGGCCTGCAGCTGTGCTTACCAGTCAGGCAAATCACACCCGCATCTTCGGCATGGCTGCAATCGTTGATGCCCCAGCCGGCAAATGTGCATTCCTGCAGCGTGGCCTCCTCTCCATTACACCTCAGATTGTCCATCCAGATCGGGTCTGCCCCTGCACCAAAGAATGCCAGGGTTTTGAAAGCCGCTGCCCCAGGGTAGCCCAGCATGCGGCAGACCACCCGGGCATTGTTGAGGCTCCAGCTGTCATCACACACCGTCCCCCACTGGTTGTCATGTTGGACCTCCAGCCTGCCTTCCCATGGATTGCCACTGTCGCTGACTAAACGAATATCCTGGCTGACCATTGCTATAAGGCACAGACAAAGCAACAAAGTGAAAAACAGAGAAAGATATGAAGGAAGACATTGAATGTTGCACTCCTCCATGTACTGACAAGGCTACCCCCTGAAAGTTCAAATGTGCTCCAGCGCAAAGTGATATGAAGCACACAAGTATTGTACAAGTTTTGAAATTGAGAAGAGATGAAATTTTGAAGAGTGTGTTAGCCGATATGGCATCGAGCCTTGAGACAAACATGAAGACTTGTATTCGTTATTCTTGAAGATGAAAAGGCAACCTTGTTTGAGAACAGTTGATAGGTTCTTGCCAAATTTACAAACTTTATGACTTACTAAAAAACATCATTAGCAAACCGAAACTTTTCATTATGACATGTATGAAGGTCGGTTGTGACAAACATTCAAGCAGTAATAAAATGGTATTATACGAACCACTGCAGATCACTCCAGCATCTTCAGTGTGATCACAGTTTTCCTCTCTCCAACCTCTGTTTGGACAGTCTTCCAGTCTAGATTCTTCTCCCGTACAAGCCACATCATCCAAGAGAATCTGTCTGGTACCCTCCCCAAACTTAGCTCCAATGGCAGCTTCTGTGGCACTTACAAACCCCAGCTGCTTGCAGACGACATTGGCATCAGTGATATCCCACTCGTCGTCACAGACAGTGCCCCATTCACCTTGGTAGTAGACCTCCACCCGTCCTTCGTTGTCATTCTCGCTGCCGGCAAGGCGTACTGTCACATCAGGCTCTGAGAATGCAAACAGAAAGTTGTCATCAAATCAATTTACAAATCTCACAATATATATTCATTAATTCCAATGCCATGTGTAGATCTGGAAACCAATTAATGTGGTCAAAAGTTTTTGACTGCTGCATGCTGAACACAGTGCTTTGGTGACTTGCTGTACCAGAAATGAATTCCATCATCACAGTGTAACCTTTTATTACTGTGGACTATTGAAAGCATGCAAAATCCTCTCAAGCTGTACCTTTTGTGTCACATGCCAGCACCTAATTTACAAATTTTCTATGTGCTTGACATGTGACCATTCTGGACCAGTGGAATTACTAGTGCCGGTTTTGAATATTGGATGAAACTGCAGCTGTGAGCCACTGCACCTCATTAACACTACTGTGGCTCAATTCCAGTGCAATAGAACAAAACCTTTACCAAAATTTCAGACCATTTATGAACACATTAGGTACCCAGATCTGAGATGGCCCTTTGGCTTGAACTAAGAAACTACATCTGCACTTCAATGCACGCTGTCATTTGTTGATTGTTTGTTATTTCAGGCAAAGTCCTCTTTGTCAAGGTCAAAAGGAGAAGTGCCTCAGCCTCTATCTGAGCCTTGGCCAAGGGCTGAGGAGGTCTCTTTGGGGATAATTAAGTTCAAATTACTAACAACTTAAAGGGCGTCTGACCAAAACTGACAGCACAAGTTTACAAAATCTTTGACAAACAGGATACTATATCATTGCGTGACATTTTTGGCCTTCAACCCTACTGAATGCAGCAAGGTGCCAAATGCGCTGAGGTCTGGGGACGTCAACAACAGTGCCACATCTGCCAACCCAGAGACAACCATCAGTGACAGTTGTGGTGGCTGGAAAGATTCTTTAAAAACCACAAATAAGCCACACTGGTTCTTAATGCACCCCAATGCAACACAACCTGCAAAAAGTCTATTAACCACTTGCTGCCGGATAGATTTTTCTAGAGCAAGACAAGATGTTGGTCCTTTTCAAGATTTTCCATTTTCAAAATTCTTCAAAAATTCATCATTTCATTTAATGGTCGTTTATACCCACATGAAGGGCTCTAGATCTTTGGGCACTACTCTAAAGCTGACAGGTAACCTTCATTGACTCCTGAAAATTTCAGCCAGGCCTTCAGCTTTGGAAAAATAGAACAGATTGTGCGGTGTTACATAAGATTCTTTCCTTCCCGAAACCAGCACAGTGCACTGCTGACCTCTTTTCAATAGGGGCCAGATTAGCATGCAGCGGTGCTGTGTGGCTCATCACTGCAGTGGTGGAGAGCTTTTGTCCCCGGTGGTAATCCGCTTGCTCTAAATGCCTCAAACCGTGGTATACTGTTTCAAAACAAGGTTCGATTATCTCCACTATTGAGAGCGAAAAAATGTCGGTGAAGCCCAGAACCTCAGTCTTTTGTTATAAGGCCCAACTCTTTTGTCCCCCCGGGCTCCCCGGCTCTGCATATACAGCCTATATACTCGGGTTGCCCAGCAGAAAGTGGTTAGTAAAAGAAAATCACCTTCATTAGGAATGCAAACCACGCCAGCATCTTCAGCATGTCCGCAGTCATTGCTTTCCCATCCTGTACTGGGGCAATCCACAAGTCTGCTCTCTGTGCCAGCACATGCAACTTCATCCAAGAAGATAGGATCCTCGCCTTTTAAGGAAAAAAACACGTAAAAATCAATCGTTTTTAAGAATGATTTTAACAACGATGTCACAAACTATCACTCCCAATTCATTTCCGCATCACACAAATTGAGTCAGGAGACCTAACAGACTTCAACTTAACCAAAATTTGGAAGGGTGGAGAAAAAAGTAAAAACACATTGCAGTACCTTGACCAAACTCTGCAAGCACTGCCACTCTGGCAGCCCCGTTAGTGAAGTTCAGCTGTCTGCACACCACATTGGCATCCTCAATGTCCCACCTGTCATCGCAGATGGTTCCCCAGATTCCATTGTGGTTCACCTCGACTCGTCCCGTGTTAGGGTCTGGACCAACCAGTCGAACGTTACCTTCATAGGGGCCCTCTTCTACAATGCAGAAGGTTGAGACAACAGTAGAAATTACAGTCTGATTCCTTCCTAAAGATTCTGCAATCTCTGTGGTCTTTCTGTTTATCAGTTTAGATCCGAAGGAGGATTACATAACAGAAAAATTGGATAGGAATCAGTCCGATCACCAAATCCACCAATTTGCTTTTCTTTGGGTACAAAATAACTGGATAGATTTCATCTCTATCCTGCAATGAAAGAGATCTTCCCACAAATTTAGAAGATTATAACATTTTTTTGCTTTCCAGTTTTTGGGTAATGTGTCTTTTAGCAAATAGTGTTTTATTTGAAACAAAGATCCATGAGATCAGAATGATCAATAACTCAACCTTTCCTGTTCTCAAAAATCAAATACTTTTAGCACTCCACCATTTCAAGCATTTATTCATGCTACAAAAATAAAATATCAGAACGTTGCTTTTATCCATATCTGTGTTTTTCAGCAGAGTACAATTTCAAGTGGGCATTTTGGATCAGTAGGTGAATAACTTCTCACATAAACCGTCACTACCAGTTGAACATACACTTACCAGAACTGAGGCAAACCACTCCTGCATCCTCATCATGCCCACAATTTTCCACTCTCCAACCTCTGTTTGGACAGTCTTCCAGTCTAGATTCATCTCCAGTACAGCCCACATCGTCCAGCATGATCTGTCCAGTGCCTGCCCCAAAGCTGGCTCCACTGGTGGCTTCTGACGCACTTGCAAAACCTAGCTGCTTGCAGACGACATTGGCATCAGTCATATCCCACTGATCATCACAAACGGTGCCCCATTCACCCTGGTAGTAGACCTCCACACGCCCTTCATTGTCATTCTCGCTGCCAGCTAGGCGAATTGTCACCTCAGGCTCTGAGAAGGCAAAAACAGAAAGTTGCAGTTATTTGTACATTTCATAATTCCACACTGACTAGTGTGAAATTTGGCATATTTGCTGGCTACATACACTTCGGGACCACTAGTTGTGTTAATCTTCAAAGGATGTTGTATCCTGAAGTTGGAATTGGCAATGTTATCTTCACAGCACTTTCAGTAGCTTCCACAGTTTTCAGCAATGTGTGCTTCACATCTTCTATTATGGAAGACTGTTCGGACATGATCTTGGGCATCATCACATCCTGATCCTTCCACTTTTATTCTTGCTTACAGTGAGAACTAGCGCACCTGCACTGCAATCTGTACAGCATTGTTTGTACGAATGTTCTGATTGAGTTTTGCTGAGCAACTTTGACTAAAACTGCTTTACACCAACAAGTGTCAGAACTGACTACTGCTACCTCCCATAAGTGTTTGGTTGCATTAACTGTGAATGCAAGTACATGTCTAATGATAAGAAATATTTGGAAAAGATCTCTGTGTAGAAAGGAGTAGGTGTGGAAACAACTTCCATGAATGTGAAGTCTTAACATTTGCAAACATGACACCTTAGCAATGATGTTTGCGCCCAATAATGAACTGTTCTTCAGAATGCAGAGTGGCTTGGGTGGTTTACTTTTAGTTGCATACAAAAAACTGCACTCACCTTCATCGGGTATACAAACAACACCTGCATCCTCACTGTGGCCACAGTTCTGATTTCCCCACCCATCACTAGGACAATCCACGAGTCTGCTTTCTATGCCCAGGCAAAAAACTTCATCAAGGAGGATTGGACCCTGACCTGTAAGACAACAGCAGATGCCAAAGGTTTCTATCAACTAATTGAACACAATTTCCAATTCTTCCTTTCTCTGAATCCCTAGAATCTGCATACTGAATGACCATCCCATGCACATATTATCACGGATGGTAAAAGCTACAAATTAGAGAGTCACTTGGTGAAATGGGCTTACCTCAATTCAAATGACAAAATGGGACAGATTGCCCAGAAGGTATTTTATTGTTACAATTGAATAAATCCCCACCACCTGACCAGAGAATAATTACAACTGTTTTGCTCTAAAGATGCATGGAAATAGATCACTATGCTATGCAGAAACACAAGAATGTCTGTTGAAGCATGCACTAGTGGCTTGAGCTATTATTGCCATCTATTCTCTGACGAAGACTTGAACAAATGTCAAAGACCAGCCCATGACTTTACTCAAATTTACCTTGACCAAATTCAGCACCACTTGCTGCTCTTCCAGCTCCGTTACTGAAGCCCAGCTGTCTGCATACCACATTGGCATCCTCAGTGTCCCAGTTGTCATCACAGATGGTTCCCCAGATGCCATCATGGTTCACCTCGACTCGTCCAGTGTTTGGGTCTGGGCCAACCAATCGAACATTACCTTCATCCGGGCTCTCTTCCGGTGCTCCTAGGATGTAGAAAAAGAAGATAGCAGCAAGTTAGCAGCAAGTATGTAAAACACAGGTGATTCTTTAGTGAAAATCTTGATCTGCGTCATTGTTACAAAGGCAAGGATTTTATCTAAAAAAAAAAAATCAAACCAGGAAAACACATACGAAAATGGACAGATCAGCAAACGGACAGATCAGTTTTAATCACTTAACTCGTCAAAACTCAGATAATCTGTTCATCAAAACTACACTCCTTTATTCCTATAGATCTCTTTCACTGAATGCCATTTTTGTGGGAAAATTACAACTACATACAAGGGGCGAAAAGGAGCATGTGCGTGCGGTGTGCAAATGTTCTATACTCACATGTGTGCTGATCCATAGATCTTCATATTACCATACAGCCATTTACGCCATGAAAATTTGAAATAAAAATGCCAATGCACGTGGCAATCTGTATGAAGTGACATCATCTAAGACAGACCTCTCCCTAAATAACCTACCTGTGTCTGTTTGGCACGTAATGCCCACATCTTCCCAGTGTCCACAGCCTGATGTTCCCCACTGTCCCCAAATGCAAGCTTCCAAGCTGGCCTCGGTTCCACCACAAGTTACTCTCGCCAGGATGGGACCTGTTCCTTCCCCATACTCGGAGGTGCCATCGGAACTGCTTGTGACACCGCTGAAGCCCAGCTGTCGGCAGGCCAATTCTGCCTCCGTGGCACCCCAAAAATCATCACAGATGGTCCCCCACTCGCCCTCGTGGTAGACCTCAACGCGGCCCCGATTGGCTGTTGGTCCTCCAGCCAGTCGTAGAGTATTACTCAGCGGAACTGCCTCGCTATCCTCATCTACCAAAACAACAACAGCAGCAACAAGTGAAAGTCTGATTTCCATACACTGTCACAAAAATAAATGTGATTCTCAACCAATGACAAGAAAGGCTGCTGTAACTTTCTGGATTTGCCATTAGATTGTGGCTACACTGGAAATGTATAACATGATAATGACGAGATGATTAGTACACAGCAATAAATGACCACTTTTCTGCCTTTTAGATTTTTTTCTGTGGGTGATTTCAAAGCCTTTCTGAAATGGTCAATCTCTTTAGTGTGGCTGCCCTTTGAAAAGGAGAGGAAATTTCATGCTCTCCATGTGAAAAAAAGATACAAAAACTGTGTCTACAATGGACATGCCAGAAGCATAAACAAGGCACACACTTCCTGCACGTAACTCATGTACTTCATAGGAAAAGATTACAAACCGCACAGATACAAACTCTACAGTCTGTGCTTGAGAATACCAGGATGTGATTGTTAAACATCTACCAACACTTTGTAGGAACAAACACGACAATGTTTCATTATTGATGTGCAAGGTTTGTAACTTCCAAACAACGCCATCCCTACGACAACTTCATAACATTTCACTGTTACTTACTGCTGCAAACCACTCCTGCATCCTCATCATGCCCACAGTTTTCCACTCTCCAACCTCTGTTTGGACAGTCTTCCAGTCTAGACTCCTCGCCTGTGCATCCCATGTCATCAAGCAGAATGGGTCCAGTGCCAGCCCCAAACCCAGCTCCAATGACTGCCTCCGTGGCACTCGCAAATCCTAGCTGCTTGCAGACAATGTTGGCATCAGTCATATCCCACTCATCATCACAGACGGTGCCCCATTCGCCTTGGTAGTAGACCTCCACGCGTCCTTCGTTGTCGTTCTCACTACCAGCAAGACGCACTGTCACATCAGGCTCTAAGAATGCCAAAGAAGTATTGAGGTTGAATATGAAATGTGGAGGCTGTAGAGTTCACATGCATTTAACAGAATCTCTCCTGTGATACGCCATCTGTCAAAAAATTTTCAAATAAGTCATGTTTTTAAGCCAACTTGCACAAGAAGTCTTACTTCCAAGCCTTCACCTACCTTCATCTGGCAGACAGACTACACCAGCATCTTCATCATGGCCACAGTTCTCAACTTCCCATCCTCGATTGGAGCAATCTACAAGTCTGCTCTCTGTGCCAGCACAAGCAACGTCATCCAGGAAGGTAGGTTCCTCACCTTCAGAAGAGTAACACAAGTGAAGGTTCTTCCATCATTATAACCAGTCCAGTATTATATGTAGTTTACTTTTATTTAGCAAAAATGTAAGTTTTCAACTGATTCCTCAGTCTGATAGAGCAAATCAAATGCATAAAATGCAGCACAGTATTCAGGTTAAAACAAGTGTGTAATAAGCCACTTTTTACTTTTAAAAGACAGTGCACTGTGTAGCCAAGAACTTCTGTCAATTTCGAACAAATACTTCCTAATGGGAAACCCAAACAGTCTGTTATTTAAGGGCCTGTTTGGTTCATGTGGATCTGGATTGCAATCAGTGATCCGACAGTTGTTCACCGACACCAGAGCCTGCATAACAGATAGTGAGCACCAGCTTTGGGATAACTGATGGAGATCCAGATCCATGTGAACCCAACAGGCCCTTAGTGTTATGCATGTCTCATTAGAGAGATGACTCAAAGGCCATTTAATGCATTTAACAAAGCAATCTATATATTTTGAAGGTACTGAAGAGGCTAGCCACATCATGTCCCTTGGTTGCCTGGTAAGCATAAATGTCCATGCCTAGATTCAGCAGGTACTGACAACAAAACCACAGGGGCAACATATTGAGAATATTCAATTATCTTGCATTAAAACAAGGTACGACATATCATAGATGTGCACTAGATTATGTAAAGCACTGATCTGAGTGCACAAGACAAGTTTCCCGACTGAATGATCCCCAACCCACAGTATCACAGAAGAAAAAAAATCAACCTGAGCATGGCCATATAGCAGCAGCAAAGGCCATGTTTTTCATTTTAACCACTGAGAACCATACCTTCACCAAACTCGGCACTGCTTGCTGCTCTTGCAGCCCCGTTAGTGAAGCCCAGCTGTCTACACACCACATTGGCATCATCAATGTCCCACTCATCATCACAGACAGTCCCCCAGATTCCGTTGTGTTTCACCTCAACTCGCCCGAGGTTGGGCTCTGGCCCTACCAGTCGAATGTCTCCTTCAGAGCTAACATCTGTCTCATCTGATGAATATGTTAATCAATTACACTGTGCCCAATTGTATGACCTGCAGTGCGCTCTACATGTACATAATAAGTGCACTCTACAATGAGTCTCTAAATGACTTTCATTAACAAACCCAATTCATTAATGCAAGAATACTATACACAAAGCCAATCAAAATTGGACTTTACTGATTAAACAAGAAGATTCGATTAAAAAATTAATTGTTGAATAAGCTCTCTCTATTATCCCACAAAAGTCATCTTACAAAGCTCAATTTTTGCCAGGAAATAGATACACCACGGCAACTTTATAAAATTTCACTGTTACGTACCAGCGCAAACCACTCCTGCATCTTCATCATGCCCACAATTCTCCACTCCCCAACCTCTGTTTGGACAGTCTTCCAGTCTGGATTCAGTTCCTGTACAGTCCACATCATCAAGCAGAATCTGTCCTGTGCCTGCCCCAAACCCGGCTCCGGCGACTGCCTCTGTGGCATTCACAAACCCTAGCTGCTTGCAGACGACATTAGCATCGCTAATATCCCACTCGTCATCACAGACGGTGCCCCATTCACCTTGGTAGTAGACCTCCACCCGTCCTTCGTTGTCACTCTCGCTGCCAGCAAGACGCACTGTCACATCAGGCTCTAAGAATGCCAAAAAAGTGTTGAGGTTGAATATGAAATGTGGAGGCTGTAGAGTTCACATGCATTTAACAGAATCTCTCCTGTGATACACCATCTGTCAAAAATTTTTCAAATAAGTCATGTTTTTTAAACCAACTTGCACAAGAAGTCTTACTTCCAAAGCCTTCACCTACCTTCATCTGGCAGACAGACTACACCAGCATCTTCATCATGGCCACAGTTCTCAACTTCCCATCCTCGATTGGAGCAATCTACAAGTCTGCTCTCTGTGCCAGCACAAGCAACGTCATCCAGGAAGGTAGGTTCCTCACCTTCAGAAGAGTAACACAAGTGAAGGTTCTTCCATCATTATAACCAGTCCAGTATTACATGTAGTTTACTTTTATTTAGCAAAAATGTAAGTTTTCAACTGATTCCTCAGTCTGATAGAGCAAATCAAATGCATAAAATGCAGCACAGTATTCAGGTCAAAACAAGTGTGTAATAAACCACTTTTTACTTTTAAAAGACAGTGCACTGTGTAGCCAAGAACTTCTGTCAATTTCGAACAAATACTTCCTAATGGGAAACCCAAACAGTCTGTTATTTAAGGGCCTGTTTGGTTCATGTGGATCTGGATTGCAATCAGTGATCCGACAGTGGTTCACCGACACCAGAGCCTGCATAACAGATAGTGAGCACCAGCTTTGGGATCNTGTCCACCAATGTTGTTGCTATGACATAACGCACATCATTCTTACTTGAAGCAGATACACCTCGGCAACTTTATACAATTTCACTGTTACATACCAAAGCAAACCACTCCTGCATCTTCATCATGCCCACAGTTCTCCACTCCCCAACCTCTGTTTGGACAGTCTTCCAGTCTAGATTCAGTTCCTGTACAGTCCACATCATCAAGCAGAATCTGTCCTGCGCCTGCCCCAAACCCAGCTCCAGTAACAGCCTGTGTGGCACCTGCAAACCCTAGCTGCTTGCAGACAATGTTAGCATCGCTAATATCCCACTCGTCATCACAGACAGTGCCCCATTCGCCTTGGTAGTAGACCTCCACCCGTCCTTCTTTGTCATTCTCGCTGCCAGCAAGGCGAACCGTTGCATCAGGCTCTGAGAATGTCAAAAACATGTTGCAGTTGTGCTTTTTCTCCAATATGGACTCATCAATTTGACAATAGTGTGAGACTTAATTGACAACTTAATTCAGGCCAGCAACTGTTATGTGTTTCCCCAGTGGCTATAAATTCTGCTGCTATCAGAACTTTCCAAACCTGTTCCACAATCCATCACCAAGCAGGATATCACTCATGAAAATTCAATGAGGGTGCAATCCTTTGAGCCAACAAAGCAACTTTTGTTAAGTCCAGGTAAAACAGGAATGACAATTACAGCCCATGTTCTGATTCATGTGCACACTGGGATTTTGAGTGACTATTTAGTGGTAAATTGTATGACCGTTACAGAAAACCCTGCAAAAGCGACTGGCCCCTTGAATGTTTTTCAAATCTGTGACGCTTTGGTGTGATTTTGTCATGCCTTGTTGGTTGTATGAAACCAGTAAAACCAATACATCTTTTAGCTGAAATGAGTTTATTTCAATGTTTTGCCATTTCCTCTGGTTTTCTTTTGTGCATGTGTGTGCAATCACTTCTGCTCTTAAACTTCAATCAAAATATAACTTGTCTTTCAGCTGAGAATTGGCTGGAAAAATAAGTATGAATAACATATCAAATATGAAGGTTTTAGAATTCACATGTATTTCAAGAGATATCTCCTGCAATACAACATGTGTCTCAATAACAACAAGACTCATTTATAAATCCTTGACCTACCTTCATCTGGCAGACAGACTACACCAGCATCTTCATCATGGCCACAGTTCTCAACTTCCCATCCAGGATTGGGGCAATCTACAAGTCTGCTCTCTGTGCCAGCACAAGCAACATCATCCAGGAAGGTAGGTTCCTCACCTTGAGAGGCATAACAAAAGTGAACGTTCTTCTCCTGTTAACTAGTCTAATATAATTAGTTAATTTCTATTCATGATTAATGATTTCTCTAATGATTCCTTGGTTTGACAAAGCAAATCAATGAATACCATCCC